CCACCCCATCCCTGGTAACCATTCTGTTTTCTGTCTTTATAAATTTGACTAGTCGAGCTACTTCATAGAAGTGGAATCATTTCTGCCTTATTTCACGTAGCATAATGTTTTCAAGGTTCATCCACCTTGCAGCATGTATCAGAACTTCATTCCTTTCTATGGCTGAATAATATTCCATTGTTTTGTACATTTTGTTTGTTCATTCATCTGTTGAAAAGACACTTGTTGGGTTTTTTCCACATTTTGGCTACTCTGAATAATATATCTCTGAATATTGGCTTTCAAGTGTTTGAGTCCTACTTTCAATTGTGAACTTAACAATTGAAAAGTTTTAATTTTGGGCCCCTGTTTGCAATTTTGGGGTGCTATATATCTAGGAGAATTGCTGGTTATATGACAATTCGGTGTTCACTTTTTCGAGGAACAACCATACTGTCTTCCATAGTGGCTATACCATTTTACATTCCCATCAGCAACAAAAGTTCCGATTTCGTGGGGTGCCTAGGTGACTCGCTCGGTTAAGCGTCCAACTCTTGGTTTTGGTTCACGTTATGATCTCAGTACCATGAGATCAGCCCTGTGGCAGGCTCCACACTGGGTATAGAGCCTGCTTGGGATTCTCTACCTCTATTGCCTGTGCTCTCTCTCTCTCTCAAAAAAAAATTTAAATTTCTTTTTTTTGTTTGTTTTAATTTGAAAAAGTTTCAATTTCTTGACCTCTATCAACATGTATTATTTTCTGCTTTTTGGTAATAACCATCATAATATATGTTAGGTAATATACATGAGGTATATTGTGGTTTTTACTTGCATTTCCTTAACAATTAATAATGTGTTGAGCATCCTCTTGTGTGCTTAATGGCCATTTGTATATCTTCTTTGGAGAAATGTCTATTCAAGTCCTTTGTCCATTTTTGATGGGTTGTTTTTCTGTCTTGTTTTTGAGTTTTAGGAGCTCATTTTATATTTTGGATCTCAATCCCTTATTAGATATATGATTTTCAAATGTTTTTTTTTCCCGTTCTGTGGGTTGTTTTTTCACTCTATTGTTAGTGTCCTTTGATGCACAAAAGTTTTTAGTTTTAATGTAGTCTAATTTGTTTGGTTTTTCCTTTTGTTGCCTATGCTTTTGGTGTCACATTCAATAAAACATTACCAGATCCAACATCATGAAGCCTGAACTCTTATTTTCTTCTAAGAGTTTTATGGTTTTAGATATTTAGGGTCTTTGATCGATTTTGAATTAACTTTTGTGTTTGGTGTATGGCAAGTGTTAAAATTCATCCTTTTGTGTATGTGGATATCCAGTTTTCAAAACCATTTGTGAGAAGTTGGCTCTTTCCCTATTGAATTTTGATAGCACCCTCGTAGAGAATTATTTGACTATATATGCAAAGGTTTATTTTGTGGCCTCTCTTCTATTCCATTGGTCTGTCTGTCTGTCTTTTGTTTTTTTAATGTTTATTTACTTTTGAAAGAGAGAGAGCAGGGGAAGGGCAGAGACAAAGGGAGAGAGAAAATCCCAAGCAGGCTTCATGACATCAGCTCAGAGTCTGACATGGAGCTTGAACTCACAAACCATGAGATCATGACATGAGCTAAAATCAAGGGTCAGACGTTTACCTGACTGAGCCACCCAGGTGCCCTGCTTTATGCCAGTGCCATTCTGTTCTGATTATTGTACTTGTAGTAAGTTTTGAAATCAGGAAGTACAAGTCCTTCCAACTTTGCCTTCTCTTTTCATGATTGCTTTAACTATTCCTCGTCCCTTGAGATTCCATATGAATTTTCAAATGGATTTTTCTATTTCTGCAAAGAGCATCATTAGGCTTTTGGTGGGTTGCACTTCATCTGTAGGTTGCTTCATATCACATTGGCATCTTAACTTTATTAGGTCCTCCAATCCATGAACACAGGATTTCTTTCCATTTACTTATGTCTTTTTAAATTTCTTACTGCGGTGTTTTATAGTTTTCAGTGTACAAATCTTTTACCTCCTTTGTGAAGTTTATTCCAAAGTCTTTTATTATTTTTTTAGAATTTTATTTAAATCCAAGTTAGCTAACTATAGCGTAATTATGGTTTCAGGAATAGAATTTCGTGATTCATCATTTACATATAACACCTAGTGCTCATCCCATCAAGTGCCTTCCTTAGTGCCCATCACCCATTTAGCCCATCCTCCCACCAACCACCCCTCCAGCAATCCTCAGTTTGTTCTCTGTATTTAAGAGTCTCCTTATAGCAGCACTATCAACAATAGCCAAATTGTTGAGTGTCCATCAACTGACGAATGGATAAAGAAGATGTGGTTTATAGATACAGTGGATTACTACTTGGCAATGAGAAAGAATGAAATCTGGCCATTTGCAACTACATGGATGGAACTGGAAGGTATTATGCTAAGTGAAATAAGTCAGTCAGAGAAATACAGATAGCATATGTTTTCACTCATACGTGGAACTTGAGAAACTTTGCAGAAGACCATGGGGGAATGGAAGGGGAAAAAATAGTTACAAAGAGAGAGGGAGGCAAACCTAAGAGACTGTTACATACAGAGAACAAACTGAGGGTTGAAGGGGGAGGCAGGAGGGAGGGGAAATGGGTAATGGGCATTAAAGAGGGCACTTGTTAAGATGAGCACTGGGTGTTGTATGTAAGCAAGAAATCATGAGAATCTACTCCCCAAACCAAGAGCACACTGTATGCGCTGTAGGTTAGCTAACTTGACAATAAATTATTTTTAGAAAAATAAATAAACAAACATTTTTTAAAAAGGGTCTCTTATGGTTTGCCTCCCTCTCTGTTTTTCTTACTTTTCCTTCTCTTCCCCTATGTTCATCTGCTTTGCTTCTTAAATTCCACATATGAGTGAAATAATATATTTGTCTTTCTCCAACTGACTTATTTCGCTTCGCACATATTGAATGTATGCGTTCTAGTTCCATCCACATTGTTGCAAAGGGCAGGATGTCATTGTTTTTAATCACTGAGTAATATTCCATTTTAAATATATTCCTTATCTTCTTTATCTATTCATCAGTCAATGGGCATCTTTCCATAATTTCGTTATTGTCAATAGTGCTTCTATAAACATCGGGGTGCATGTGCCCCTTTGAATCAGCATTTTATATCCTCTGGATAAATATCTAGTAGTGCAATTGCCAGGTCATAGGGTAGCTCCTTTTCATTCAATTGTAAATGGAATTGTTTTCTTAATTTCCTTTTTACATTGCTTACTGTTAGTGTGTACAAACACAATTGATGCTTTTTAATTTATTTTATTTATTATTATTTTTTTTAATATGAAATTTATTGTCAAGTTGGTTTCCATAAAACACCCAGTGCTCATCCCAACAGGTGCCCTCCTCTATACCCATCACCCGCCCACCCCTCCCTCCCACTCCCCATCAACTTTTA